TTGATGATTGTAATTTTTATACAATGTTGTAATTTGTTTTTCAACAATTTTTTGATTAATGTTTTGTTTCCTTTACAATATTATACTTTAATGTATAATATTGTAAAGGAAACAAAACATCAATCAAAAAATTGCTCTCTTTTTTATCCGGGCTACTTACATTTATTTTGGGCTACCAAAACTGAAGAGTCCCTGCCCGAAGGGCTACCAGGGATTTTGAAATTTTGAGAGCCCTGAGATATATTTTTTTATTTTTATTACTTTTGTTTCAGCAACATTAAATTTAAAAACTGTACTTTTGAGTTAAAATATATATTTATAATTTTAATAAATGACAAATTAAAAAGGCATGAATATTTTTTTTGTATCGAAAAAATATCGAACCGTGACACCAAAGTATCAAACCGAACCGTGAATTTTGTGTATCGTTGCACCCCTAGTAGTTACATATGGTTAAAATGATTCAAATGCAGTAAGTATACATGTTTTTCATATAAATAAAGTCTATAACTTAATTATTGTCTGTAGCCCACATAATTCAACACTTTAGTTACATAAAACATGTCAGTTTTGATGCTATGTACTGTATAGCCTGTATGATAAAATAAATATGTAGCCCAATAAGTATAAAATCCAGAAAGCTACACAACCCTGGAGCACTTCTGTTGTGTTTTGTACGTGCTTCTGAGTTTTTACGTGTTTTGGAGTTTGTACATGCTTTGTCTGTAGGGGCCACATAAATATACTTTTATTTATTCACTCCACATAAAATGTAATAAATAAATCATATAATACAAAACTCACTATTCACAGTTCAACTTTTAACTATTTAATTTTTCTGCTTTTTCCTTTTAAACAAATTTAAAGTGAAACTACACAAAACACTGCAAACCACAACACAATTAAATATAAATTAAAATATGAAGATGATGCACATTCTCTGTCATATGGACCTGCATGAATAAACATTCTGAATCCTTTATCATCCTCAACTGAAAATAGTTGTGGATGATTACTGTACCTTTCTAATGAGACTCTCTTTCTCTCTCTCTCTCTCTCTCCCTCCCGCTCTGTTCCTGTGCTACTGCCAGTGTAACTACCGCCCCTCCCCCCTCTTCCCAGTGCAAAGCACAAGGCTGTGGCTAATATTTTTCAATTTCATCCCTAATTTCTTTAATTTCTGGAAGCAGTGAAGGGTCTTGTGTGGTCTTGTGTTGTTGTTCGGTTAAAAAAAGGTTCTCCTTCTCTTTTTTGTACACCTCCTCTCTGTTGTTGTTTTTTTTAATTTACTAAACTTCTTTAGTTCCTCCATATTGGACTTATTATTTAATATTCCCACATTTAGCCTCCATAATGTATTTTTCTCCTGTACTTTCAAATTAACTATAAGGTGGATTGCACAGTGGTCAGATACATCTGCTTGTTGAATTTCACACTCTTTTACCCTATTTAAATCATTATTATTCATGAAGAAGTAATCGATTCTAGCATACCTGTTGGGGGGGGGAGAATAGTGTGTATAGTCTTTTTTAGAGGGGTGAAACTCCCTCCATATATCAACTATCCCGTATTCTTTAAGTATTCTCTTGACCGTTCTCATAACCTGGTTGAGGGAGGTGCTTCTTTCTTTTCTTTTGGAGACAGAGGAGAAAAAGGAACAAGATTAAAAACAAAAATCGTCTCTGCCTGCTTGTCTGACAGGATCTTTGGATGCTCCTCAGTGAGGGGCAGCGACATCTTGGGATCGAAACAAAACAAATGGGTTTTCAGTTACACTTAAAACTGACATATGGATTTATACTGTAATACGGGCAGATTCAATTACTCACTTATCATTTCAGCTTTTCACTGGCTATCCAGTTTTTCCACCTCTTCTGTTTTGGGTGGACAGGAGATCTGCCAATACTGACAAGATACACAGGGCCGGAATTTGAGGTGTGTTGCATCAAGAAAAGAGTAATACTGACAACGAGTAACACTCACACAAAAACTTAACTCATCATCCTCTGTGGGGGCATGAAAGCTAAGAAAGGACAAACAAATAAAACATGAAGAGATAAGCCAATGGAGAAAAAAGTCAGACGGTGAGGGGACAGCAGAGCAGACTGTTGTTAGCTCTTCTAATGTAGGTAACGCAAAATACCAGTAAAATTTCCCTGTGACTGTACTCGGGGTAAATTGTGAGTAATCCTTAGGCTGCCATCAGCTTAATGTCTATAGTGACACCATTTGAAATCATGTTTCAGCAATAGTTCTGTTTAATTTGAGTTCACATTGACATAAATGTGTGGAAAGTGCTGAGCACAGGTATAACACTTGATGATCACTTTATGGTTTGCTATAGAACAAACATTCAAACACATTTTGAATGTAAATCCCCTTATTCAAATCTATTCAAATATCGCTATGCCTTACTGGCAGACACAAGACTATATCTGGTAAATATCTGTTTCTTTCCTTTAGTGACCTTAACATTTCCATATGCAGATAACAGAATGCAAACTCTGCACAGCATCACATGAGTGAATACTTTTGGTGTGATTTCCAGTTTTAGTTGGATGGGTTTCCATAAAGTTGAGACTGTACTTAAAGAAAACAACAACAAAACGCCCTATTGTTTTTTTGTACAAGTATGTTTTTATGACCAAATTGTGAATGAGCTAAAAATTTAAAAAAGCCCTGCTTTTTTTCTTTTTTAAAGAAATAAACGCTTTTATTTAAAGTAAAATGAAACTAACTAGAAAGGTTGGGATACATCGGGTTGCAAATTTCTTAATCCCCAGTAGACTAGAGTCCTGGAATATCTTAAATCAATGAAACATCTATTCAAACCATAGTTTACATTCTGGTTCTTGTATTATAAACTATTATAAACATTGTTTCACCTTCTTGACCACATTTCATATTTTGAGCAATAGCGTATTTTCATGTACATAAGTGCAATTTAAATAAAATTGCTTCACGTTTATACTGAAGTACAGTACTTAAGTAAGTGTAGCCTTGAGTGCATTTAGGGCTTCTTGTAGCAGAAGAAGTTCCTTCTCAGCTGGCAGTTTCTCATGCTGAAGGATGCAGTACCGTTCTTCTCAAGGACGCCACAAAAGCTGTGAGATGGGCAGCTTGGAATATTTTCATATTGCATCTGCTCTCCACTCACCCACAACCACTTACCAGCCAGGTTACACAGGCCTGTCCACACCTGCCAACATTAAACAGAGAGGTCCACATACAAAAACTTGTAACAAATAAATAAAGAGTTCCTCAATACAAATACAATGTAGGAAACTGGCCAACCTCATCAGTGGTAGCCTCTTGTGCTCTCTCTCGTGCATAAGTATGGTCAAATGGAGAGATCAGCGTGACCAGGTCGTAGCGGTGGTTCCAGTCTGAAAAGGTTGGATTATTTGTGTTGACTCTATCCAGAGACCTGCAGTGATCCAATGCCTCCTCCCACGTCTTATTCTCCTTCACCAGAACCAAAGGGTCAGTATAACATGTGAAATATCGCTCCAATCCACATTTGCTGGCTACCCATTTTCCATTTCTCTTAAAAACACAGTTTTCCTGTGCATTTGCTTCTGCAAGAACAAGGATAAGTAAAGTAGTGAGAATGCACTGAGAAGTTTTCAGAGAAGGTTTGAAGACCAAATTGCATCTGAGATGTAAATCTGTATGCGCTCAAATATTCATCTTTTATTGTTTGCATCAAAAAGGCCTCAGCATGTTTCATAAATGTACTGTAGATAATAGTATAGGCAAGATATAATAGATACAATAGATATAATAGATACAATAGATATAATAGATACAATAGATATAATAGATACAATAGATATAATAGATTTGAACTTTAAAACAAATAAATGTTAGCCTAACAGAAATACTGTAATACAGTTATACAAATATAATTCAGTTACATGTTCCTTACCAGTTACATGTTCCCACATGGTGAAGGTGGCTATCTCATCATCTTGGGACCATTTCCATGGACTTGCTGCATCTTCTCGGTATAATCCGATCCAGCCGTGCTGAATAAAACGTTCATTTTCTTGCTCGTTTCTGACAGTGACCAAATCAGTGTAGTTGTGCCTGCAGTATGCCTGTGCATCTCTCCATGTCATGATGATAGAAGGGGAGTCATATGCAACTTTCAATTGCCCACAAACAGGAGAAAGGAAGAGCAGCAGTTGAATGAAAATGCATGTCTTTGTCATCATGTTTTCCACAGGAGGATGACACTAGAGCAAGAAAAGCATCCACAGACAGGAAAGAAATTGAGAGAAATCTATAGTGAAGCTCTGCTTTATTCACTATGTAGTTTTACTCATATATACATATGATGTGAAAAGCTGATTATAAACCTGCATTCATGCACTCTACCTAACTTAAAGTAAGAGAATTTACCTTGCATGTGTTAGGAGGGAAGCTCTGAAACTTAGTCTGATGATGACATTTCTTTGTCAAGTCTGGGAATTACTCATTTTACTAAGACATTTTACTAGTAAATTGTCCCTGTTGAAAAGTCAAACTACTTTTGCAAAGCAGCAACATTCAAATGCTTTATGATAAATCAAATGTGTCGCACACGTTTACTCCATTTCTTTTTATTGCCTTCAGTTCCCACTTTCTGCAAGTTCTCACCACTTGCAAGCAGCAAACTATCAAAGTGGATGTTTTTTGTGTTTACGTTTATGTGTCCAGGCATGCTATGCATGAACTTGTGTGTTTATGTGTGGCTGATTGGGACCTGATGTATGTAAAAACAAAGAATTACGTGATTAAAAAAACCAAAAAAACAATTTTACCTGATTTTTTTTCTGAGGACATTCGTTTTAAATTTCCATAGAACAGTGGCAGATTAATGTCCTCGTAATATCAGGCCCTTGTAGAGCAAAATTTAGTATTTTGGTCTAGAATGAGGCATGCTGTATAAAGCACTTTGAGTAGAAAAGCACTAGATAAGAACCAGTCCATTTACCGTTATAAATACAGCCTTTTTGTGTTGTTATTTGTCTTGTAATATTCGAAACTACCAGACCGCGGCTGCACACAGCAGACAAGAAGAAACGGTTAACTGTTCCACACAGCTGAGACACTATTACGCACAACATTTTAACACAGCAATACAAACAGGCCTAACTGGGCACAGCTAACTACAGTCTATTACATTTTGCATATTTCAGATAGATAGATAGATAACTCTTTATTGTCATTGCACAGTCATACATAGTACAATAGTTCAATGAGATTGGAAAACTGTCCTATGTCGGCACTACATGTAACACAACACGACATGATATGACACATCACAACGCAACACAAACAACACAACACAGTATATTAACTTAGTAATAAAAAGAAGAAGAATAAGTGTATTGCACACTGTCATTATTGCACATTAATTATTATTGCACCTTGTTATAAATATAAATATTATTATTGTTATTGTTTTAAACATTGTTACTCCCCCCCCCCAAAAAGTCCAGGGAGGTATCCAGTCAGGTCAGCTGTTAGCATTGAACAGGGCTGTTGCCCTGTTGTAAAAGCTGTCATTGAGTCTGTTTGTCTGGGACCTCAGCAGCCTGAACCTCCTGCCCGACGGCAGCAGCTTAAACACCCGGTGTCCTGGGTGTGTGCAGTCCTGTAGGATGCTGCGTGCCCTCTTGAGACAGCGAGTGCTGTACAGGTCCTTCAGGGAGGGAAGAGGATGTCCAATGATTTTTTGGGCCATATTGATGACCCTCTGGAGTGCCTTTCTGTGTGCTGTGGTGCAGCTGGAGAACCACACACTGATACAATATGTCAGCACACTTTCAATGGAGCAGCGGTAGAAGACGGTCAGCAGCTCCTTCTTCAGGTCCATTTTTCTGAGGATTCTCAGAAAGTGCAGACGCTGTTGGGCCTTCTTTAAAACCGCAGAGGTGTCTCCATTGGAGGTCTGTGTCTATGTGCACACCCAGAAACTTGAAACTGGAGACCCTTTCCACGCACTCCTCGTTGATGCTGACAGGCTGCAGCTCGGACTTCCTCCTTCTGAAGTCAGCTACTAGTTCTTTTGTCTTGGTGGTATTTCACCTGACTCAAAAGGCAGATTTGCAAAACATGCAACGTAGCCAATTGCCCTTCTGCAGCAACGGCAGTAGTGTTAATACTGCTTAATTCAATGCAACCCTACAGGGACAATTCTAAGAGTTTCCAGGGGGATAAAACCTTTTAATGTGCTGTTCCTCTGTTGTGCTCCGTTTTTAAGCTGGTAGTTAAATAAATATTTAAATAGAAAATAATGTTTTCATATTACTGCCATGGCTTATGATAGGTAATGGGGTTAGGTCATTTTGAAAAAACTGACTGGGTGCTGTGATGCTTGTCTGGAAGTATTAACTTTTTGTTATCGTTTTTTGGCCATAAAAACTGAAAAAGCATTAAATATGTAGTCTTTAAAAACTGGAATTAGAAGAAATGTAAATGTGTTACACCATAATTTGGAGAGTTTTTGTATTCATATATCAAATAAACAACAATTTTTATTCTATGAATAAAACCTGTGTGAACTTCATCTCACATAAAATTATATTACTTAGTGGAGAATAAATTTGTCTATAGTATCGGGTGTTATTTTGGGGTTTAATGAATATTATGAGTTCTATTGGTCGTTGTGGATCGTTTATGGTTGTTTGTTGATGTGATATGCCCCCGGTCCCTCGTCTTCCTGTGTACGCATTTGAGTGTGTATGCTGTGGTGTGTTAGTTTTGCTGCCACACCAGGCCTGGAGAGTCTCCCGTCTTTGAGCCAGCCACACCTGGGATTAATCACTCAACTGTTGCCGATCTGAATAATCAAGAAGCCCTACATAAGAGAGCAGTGGCGCGGTATTGTTAAACTAGGAACACAGTTAGTGCTCATGCTTGTGTTACTGCGTTCTCAGTTATTCTCCTGTTTGAATGGTGAAGGCGTATTTGTCGGCTGGTGGATGGGAATGTGCTCACTGTTGCGTCTCTTGTTTCCAGGAGGATTGCGAAAACATGTGGAGGACACCGAGGAGGACAAACACTCACCACGGACTATAGATGAGAATCACAGCACAGGCGCAGGAAGAACACACACACTGTGATCGTTGGCACTGCTTTCTGCTCTCTTCACTGTAAATAAACGCACCATCTTCATCTAGAAGTCCTGCATTTGGGTTCTCTTTCAACCAACCCTGACAGATATTGTGTTACACAGTTAAACCCAGTTCATCTACAGGACGATGCTGTAGTGTGTTTTTTGATATGCCATATACACAAATTTAAAGTGTTTGACATTAACATAATGTTTTACTGTGTTTTTTATACCCCAGCTTCAGTAATATATTTTGACAAATACACTAATGAGGAGTTATATCTGTTTACCATCTACACTGCTGTGTATCTGGAACAGTCCACTTGTTAAAAATGATTTATTAATGTTTTAAGAATCGTATAATTAGCGGTATCAAAGGAATTCTTGGTTTTAATGACCTGATTATTTACCATCCCTGGTACAGATGGAAAGGTTAGTTTATACAGGTTAAGATGAAAATACTAACAAACACATCAAATTTTACTTTGTATTACTAGCTGTAGAAAACATCTTGGAATGACTGATAATAAGCTGTTCTTCACATTTTGTAACTCACAAAAAATACAAAAGTGTAGCAAAATGTCATAATGTTATTGGGATTACATGGACTTCCTCTGGACTGGATTAATGATTGAGTTAATTAGTTGCACTGGTAAGTAGACTTTATTACCATCACACAACACTACAGTGTCTATTTCCCTTATTTATTGTTAAAGCATCCTGAGCCACCAGGAAAATGGAAAGTTAAATAAAATTAGAGTTTGGTTCACAAGAAACATACTCTTATTATCTGCCCAACTTTAATTTTAATGCAGTTAACATCATTATGTGTGTAAAGTGTAATCAACGTGTTAGCAGTGTTGAGTGGACTATTTCTACTTTCTGTGCTTTGAGGCACTTCTGAAGCTCCACAGCCGAAAGTTACGTCTTTGTTTTAAGATTTAATTGGCTGTGGTTTGATCTTAATGGCCCTGGGCAAATATCTGCTTACAATTAAATCTGCAGTGTTTTAAAAAGTTTGTCTATTATTAAAATGATTTATGAGTGCTTTATAAAATCTGCACTTTGAAACAAATTGCTTTGTTTCGAAATGTTATAATGTGAATGCTTAGCAGCCTCTGTCTAGAGGGAAATGAGAGGATTTACAGAGCATGATAAAAAGCCCAAGGAAATTACAGCAAAGCCATTCATTATATTTTAGTCGTGATTTCTAGCTGTAGAAAGTATGTAGGAATCATATAGTATTTTGGATTGATTGATAACCAGATGTTCCTCCCAGATGTTCCTCCCAGCATTATTGGGATTGTAAGAAACTGACTGAGTTAATGAATCATTTCTGAATGAGCATTAAGTGGATTTTGTTTAGTCACAGAAAGCTAGGCTGGGTGTTTCCTGTTTTTGTGATAAGCTAGGCTAACTAGCTGCTGTCCATAAATGTGACATTTAATATTATAAATGTGCTTCCTCAAAAGAACAAAAGAATATTAGCAAAATTTTAATTAATTGTATATTTAATAATCTAGGAAGAATTTGAACAAAAATGTAATTACCCAGCAGCTTATGCTTCTTCCTGCTCCTTTTTGAACATGGACGTTATTTGGAGTTGTGGTTGCTCGTTTTCCTTTTGTTTGCTTTGTTCATTTGTCTCTTTTAATTCTATTTTTTTATACTTTTTCAACATGTTCAAAATAAAGATTCAATCAATCAATCAATTACCCAGCAGTCTGAAAACAAGTTTACATGTGCAGCATCAGTCACAGTATTATTACACAGTATGCTAATGTTTTTCAAACGTTAGAGCGATATTATCTCATTCTTGTAAAAGGCATTACCTCAACATGCAGACCAGGGTTCAAACGCACACACACATAGACACACACACCTTATCGCTGGTACAACCAGGAGAGACAAACAGATCAATAAGCGCTACCTGCACCAGTCAAGAACTCACGATTACCATCGGTGCCTGAGGAGAAGATGACATTTGAAAAGATTTCTCAAGATTTCAGCACAGATGGGCATTCAGTCTCTCACCGTCAAAGATTTCGACAAGGTACAGCTCACTTTACAATCAAATTCCGAGCAGTTTCTTTTCTGCTTTTTTTTATACCACCGCTTTACTCCCTCCTTGTGAAATCTGACCTCGTGGAGCTTTCACTCGTTTACTCATTTTGGTTTCAGATACATGTAAAACATTTGTAATAAGTGTGTTACATTGTTTAAAACTACACCACATAGCAGATTGCTCTGTCACCTATTAGGAAAGTCCCCATTATAAATTTATTTGATTTACTGAAGACAAAATATTTTATTAGGATTTTTAACTGAGAGGAACATTTTCAAGGTCTGTTTGCAGATGGAAGCAGACCTGCGTTTCCACACCACCGACTGGTTATACTGAGTCTGAGCCTGCTGAATGCTGTTCTGCTGATAGCTGCTGTTGTCACTGGGATCTATTGTAAGTATGAGAGTCAATACGAAACTCCTTAATCTGAAGTATAATCCTTGTTCTGTATGATATTAATCGCACAAAGTAGTAGAACCAAGTACGAACGATGGTATGAAACTGCAGAAATTCATATAATTTACTTTTACATATATGAATATCTGATTGATTAGAGTTTATTTCTAGACCAGAGTTTCTTAATGTTTTCAGTGTGCCAAATGACACAGAGCCACACTCAAGAATAATACTGTATTTGTAATGTTTCATTTTGGACACATTACAAGCACAGCATTTGTGGTTTATGTTGGTATATGCCATTTTCACTATCATGAAACAGGTATGTGTTGCGTGGTGTTGCTTTGGTCGCTACATGGTTGCAAGTTTTGCTAGTAGTATGCATGGAAGATGCTAACTTGTCTGCTAACCCTCACTAATTACTTACCGAGCAGTATTAAACTGTGAAAAGTGCAACTAAATGAAAATCGTTTGCCTTCAAATCAAAACTTCTGCCTGGAGAAATGTGTTAGTTGCCGCACAACTTTTACTTTGAAAGCAAATGTCGTCTGTTTCTGCGTTTTGACACACTGCACCTAGAAGAGTAAATGGTTACTGTTTGTGCGTACAATAGTGTCTTTCATACAAATTAGAGGTAATCAAAGCAATTTGGTTTTTCACTCAGCCATAGTCAACAACCTGAGCTCAATTCCAGTCACTGGACCTTTCGGTGAATGTAGTTCTTTGTATAGTTCTTTGTATATATTAGCTGGTATCTGTGTCTGTGACAAGCACTCATACTGTCTATAGATGCAATACGCTAACAAATCTACTTTGAAACAAATATGTGGAGCCAACATGACATCTGGAAAACTGAAGATCACAAACATCACTGTGATTAGAGCAATCTTTTATATTGACCCTCTTTTCCTTTCTCGTTTCTTATCTTTCAGGTGTCAAAGCCAAAGACTTTCAGGTTTCAGATTCATCTGTTTCACCCTTGTTGATTGAAATGAACCATCTCCGCAACCACAGTGGTATCATCAAAGAGAGGCTGGAGGCCCAGGCAAAACTGGTGAAAGAGCGCACCAACCACGTGCAGCTAAAGCTCCAGGTGAAGCAGATGAAGGTCGAAAATGATTTGCTTCAGCGACAAATTGAGACACTAAATGCAGCGAAATCAAATCTCCAGACAAATAAAACTCTCTTAGGTAAGTTCAGCCTCCAACCCGTCTTTGTGAACATGCAGCAGGCTTATTGTGAGATAGTAAATGGTTGTTCGATCTCTCTTGGAACAGAGGAAACCTGCGGCAGATGCCCAACAGGATGGCTCCTTCTTAAAACATCCTGTTATTATTTTTCTCACCATGAAATAAACTCCAGAAAGAACTGGACGGAGAGCAGACAATACTGCATTAATCAGGGCGGTGACTTGCTTGTCATCAGTAACTTGGAGGAGCAGGTTGGTCAGAAACGAAGTCTTTTCTGCTTAAATAGTTTATTTTGTAGGCCTCTGTGTCTGGTTTTAAAATGCCAAGAAATTCGAGCCCACCATGTGTGAGAAAGTTATCTTCTGTTAATGATTAAGATTCATTTCAATTTCATAATCTTGGTGCATAAAAAAGTAAAGTCACAATAATATACGTTTAATTTTGGCAATTACTCATTAACTTGTACGTTATTAAGAGCTTTACACTCAAAAACTTTACCATCTCTGCTCGTGTGTGGGTCTGTGTGGGTGGGATTTAATTAGACTGAACTTACTTTAAACTGGCAAAGTAAGAAAGATAGTACTCGTCTAACTTCTTAGAGCAAATATGTGACATCTTGATAAAGGCTAACCACGGGGAGCAAATGTTTTATATTCATGATAGCATTGCTCAGCTATGCCTAAACGAAAGGGCTTTTAAATTCTGTTTGATCACACCATACTTATTTGTCATCATTTAAAAATCAAATTGAATGTCTGCTTTCTCATAGCTCCTCATAACCGACAACTTTCAAAAAGTGAGCAGCTCTGGCGTATGGTGGCAGAATGGATACTGGGTCGGCCTCACTGATGTGGTGACAGAGGGAACGTGGGTCTGGGTTAACAATGTGACCGAGGTGGATTCAATGTAAGCGACTCGTGAAGCGCTATGATTCATTACTGACAAATGTACTGAAAACAAGTTCCTCTCTAAGCGATTGTGCTTTACTCAAGGTACTGGAGAAGTGGGCAGCCCGACAGCTCTGGTGAGGAGAAGAAGAACTGTGCTGCTTTTCTTTTCTTTACCGATAATGTGAAGACATGGTACAATGTAGAGTGTAGCAGCAAACAGCTGAACTGGATCTGCGAGATGGAGCCAAAGCAAACCACAAGGGGACCTCAATGATGATGTTTCAAAATAATAATAATGTCATAAAATCTCTCAAATAAATTAGCTGTAACTTGACATGTGAAAAATCGTGTTATACACTACTGTAAGTGACACGTTTTCTGTTTTTTTGTTTTTAAAGTATTTTGACAACACTCAGCATATTCAGTTGTATATGGGGGAAAAATGTCTGCAGTATCTGGTCTGTAATGATTTTAAGATGTTTAATGCTTAACTTGATAAAATAAAAAGAATATTTCTGATCCTAATCTTGTTTAGATGATCTGAAAACTCTGCTGTTCCTTTACCTCCTGTAAATGGTTAACAAGTAAACTTGATTTTCTGTTTGCAATGTTACACACACACACATGCCCAAACACCCGCAGGGCAATGTCCTAACAAATACTCTCTCTTTCTTGGGTGATCTTGCTGCACTCTTCTCATCTCGTCGATTAAAATGGAGGACAACGGAAATAATGCTGGCTTTTTTGAGAGTACTTATAACAAACTGACTTATCCTGAGGACATTAGTGAAGATGACCACTCTTTCAACTTGAACCAGGAGAGGCAACAAGGTAAATGACAAGAAGATGAATGATGATTAAGGAAATATGTTTAATGTTTCTCCTCTGCCAGAAACTAGCTTTGCTCTTCACAGCACTTTTTATAACTTATGATTACACATCCACATTTTCGCCCACCACTTGGGTGTTATTTTGATGTTGCTGTATTGTGCATGGCTCTGATATTTATCCACCACTTATCTGTGTAGTGTCCCTGTCCACAATGGGGCCTGGATCCTGTTTAAATCGTTACAAAGTGCTTGCAGTGAGCCTGGCAGTGCTCGCTGCCTTTCTGCTGGCAGTTGATATTGGCCTGGGAGTCTACTGTAAGTGATTACTGCAAGCTGCAGTTTTTGTTATATTGAGAAATTTTTTAAATCTTAAAAAAAAGGTTCAACAGGAGGGAAAATAATCATCTCTTGTGGGAAAATCGAGGTCAACAAAAAGGGATTTGATTTATTCTCACCTGACTCTTTTTATCTAGTTTTAACTCCCTGGTTTGGTTTTCCACCCTGTAGCTTCACTGCTTATTCACCTGTGTTTGTGTCCTCAATAGGCAGCTAATTTTACTGAAAAGTCTCCAATAAATACTGTTTCACTACCTGCCTGCCACTAAAGAGTAGCTAAAGTTAGCAGGTGAATACAGAAGAAACATTAGCATCTATGAAACCGGATGTTATCCCCTCAAATTCATGGAAACCAAAATAATAAAGCCCAGTCTTTTTTTCATAAACGGTATAAGGTTGTTTTGTGTCAGCTTTCTAAAACGTTTGTTTCTGCTGCCCTCAAGTGATCAAAAAAGAACAAAACAGAAAATGCAGGTTTAATTACTAACATTACAAAAGTACCTTAAATAACGGTCACTAAAGTAGCATCAGGGAAATTCAGAGTTTGGATTCCCTTAGAAAAACATATTCGTTGGCGCGTTTTTTTCACCTGGTTGCAAACACAGAAAACTTTCTATACATGATTTAAGCTACAAAATATGAGGAGCACTTGATTATTTGATTAATAAATATGTTAATTTATAAAAATGGTTATATGCTTTTGCATCAGTGACTATTATATCAGGTTTTGCCCACTTTATTGGCTAATATTAGATTACTACAGATCACTCATGCCAAATGCCAGACTAATTTGAGTTTTAATTTAATTGCAGTATTTCTGTTACATAATTTATCCATATAAGAGGACCAACAAGCTGATAACTCAGTTGTAAATACCTGTTACTTCTTTGTTTAGAAAGGGTCACCAGAGCAGGTGGATCAGCAAACGTGGCATATTTAACCAGGATTTTTGTTTCCAATCTTGAACTGGGATCTTTTAGTTGTTAGGCAAATGTATTAACAACTATACTAAAGAGCTATTCACTATGTTATTTAATTATGGGACAATTTTAAAAAAGGAAAATGTGTAAACTGTCTTAGCTGTGACCTAAAAACTGCCTGTGTTCTAGAATAAATAAATATTTTTAAGTGAGGTTTGTCTGCTACTGCTCTTTTGTTATTTCCGTTAGAGTTCTTTCTTCAGCTGTACCAACACCGTAAAAATTGTACAGTTTTTAAAGTCTTCCTTTTCTCTACTTTCAGACTACAGACTTACTTATGGGAACCATTTAGTAACAGACATCAGCACTGAGATTGCCAAATTGCAGGCTACTTACAACGCTGCACTCCAAAGCAAGACTGAAGCCAAACAGGAGGTGGCGAAAGAGATCAAGTCACAGCAAATTACCAAGTGGGAGCTTGATCATCTGAACAGAAGGAAAAAAGATACCGAAAAACTAATAGACAGAACTGAAACGGAAATAGCGATGTTGGAATCCCACATGCCAATGCTCAGTGAGAGGCTTTTTCTTTATTTATCATGTTAATAAATGCTCTATAATTGTTATGTCATTCCTTTTTTTTTTTTTTGTCAACAGAAGAGGGCTGCAGACAGTGTTTGCCAGGCTGGACTGTCATTAATTCCATGTGTTACTTCTTCGCTTTATCTGAGGAACTCTCACGGAGATCATGGATGGATGCCAGACATTTCTGCAAGAGGCAAGGAAGCGACTTATTGGTGATCAACAGCAGAGAGGAACATGTAAGACTCAACATTTAAACAACACAATGAAACTTACTGACAAACTTACAAGTTCCACTTCTCATGAACAGCACTAGCGTATATGAATGTTTGTGTGTGTTTTCATGTACATGTGTATTTCCTATATTGTCAGATGGCCCTTGCTGAAATTGTAAAAATGTCTCGAGACCCCTCGAGATCGCTTGCCCACAGTGGATTCTGGATTGGACTGAGAGATGCAGATGTGGAAGGAAGTTGGACATGGTTGGATGGGACAAGGGTGGAAGAGGGGTATAAATTCTCCTAAAAATCTTAATCCATAATGACAAAGTGAAAGAAGTTTTCTTGCTATTTTTTTTTTCAAATCAACATTTACATAAGTACTCACAGCCTTTGCCATAGCACTCAAAATTGAGCTCAGATGCATCGTGTTTCCACTGATCACTTGTCAGAGGTTTCTATTAGTTTTTGATTGGAGTTCATTGTGGTAAGGATTGTATCAATGCACAGATCTGAGAAAGGGTACAGAAACATTTCTGCACCCCTGAAAGTCCCGATAATGGCTCCATCATCAGTAGATGTAAGAAGTTTGAAATCACCGGGAATTTTCCTGGAGCTGGACGCCCAGCCAGTCTGAGCAATAAGGGTGTAAGTGCCTTAGTCAGCGAGAACTCGATGGTCACTCTAATAGAACGACTCTCAAAGTTGTTCAGGTCATGTGCAAAATGCTCTGGACTGATGAAACAAAGATTGAACTCTTTGGGCTGAATGCCAAGGATCAGCCCCTAGCTAATTCTATTCCTACAGTGAAGCATGGTGGTAGCAGCATCATGCTGTGGGGATGTTTTTCAGCAGCAGGAACTACTCAAGACTACTCATGGTCGAGTTGATGATAACTTGCTCCAGAGCACTATGGACCTGGGACTGGGGTGAGGGTCCATCTTCCAACAGGACAACAACCCTAAAGGTGGCAAAAGGTGCTTCAACAAAGTATTGAGTACTGAGCAAGGGCTCCGAATACTTATGTACATGTTGTATTTTTGTTTTTTGCTTTTAATGCGTTTGCAAGAATTTCAAGCAAATCTTTCTGACTTTGTAATTATAGGCTGTTGTGTAAAACTTTGAAGTGAAAAATGAATCAAATCCAGTTTGGAATAAAGTAATGTAATGTGACAAAATGTGGAACAAGACAAGCGATATAAATTCTTTCTGAATGCTCTGTAACCATTATCCACTTGTGATAACGTAATTTAAGTATATGTCAGTTTATTAATTTAAGTATATGGTAATTTCCCATATATCTCTGTCAGAGCACACATAAAAAAACTAAGCAAAGTTACCCATCTCTTGTTTCAGGTACTGGGATATTGGAGAGCCTAACAACCAAAACAATGAAGACTGTGCTGCTATGTATCCCAGAGAAAACCCCTTTCATTCATGGAACGATGCTCCATGCAACTGGAACCTGAAATGGATTTGTGAGAGGACACCAAGACCTTTTAGCTCTAGCTTAAATGTTTAAACAGAGTCAAGTCTGGCTTTAAGGCATGGACGTGTCTTCTGAACTTTTTTTTTTCTTTATTGTCATGTCTTTTGCAAGAGACTACAAAATGTCCAAGAAGATTAAAATAAGAAAAATACATCTGAGTTATAAAGGCATCTACAAAATGTATGCAAATTCTGTAACTGTTACAAATAAAACCTTTACTATGTACACATATTTTACCACTGTACAGATTTGTACACTAACATGCCAGTGTTTCAGGAAAACCTTTACATGCCCTCTAAAGGTCATGTTAGTTAGAGCCCAAACTTTTACCATTTAATGGGCTATGACTGAAACACTTGACCTAGACATTTTAGACCTAGCGTTGCATCAACTACAGCCTTTTGAAACTCTACTGAAATAAGAGTTTTACAGAGAAGAGTGAAAAAATCAAAGAAACAACCAATGAGCGTATTCTGTACACAACAATAAGTCTACAACAGCTCAAGCTGGAATCAAATAAGGACGATCACATCACTTTTCAACACTGAAGTGTAGAATTACAGTTAACAATTAACACTTCAAAGGGTCACCACTCATTTTGCTAAAGAGCTTCAATTGTAGATGTATCTAATAAACTGGCAGTTAATAAATAAACACAAGCCAAAACTAATCCCACTTTGTCCATTTCCAAGACTAACCTACCAAATTATGACTTTTTTAAAGACTGGGTTAAAAGAAAACCCGGTCGTTTGCAGTGCTGTGGTCCCTCACAGCACTGCAAAGTGCTGTCGAAGTTGCTTGAGAAGCTGCTGAGTGTCGACGTGTTCTGGGAAAGCGTCCTCAGATTTTTGGGCTGCACTGTAGCTGCTCTGAAGGTCCCCAAGCTGGACACAGACAAGAAGATGTAAAGATCACACTTTGTCACTTTTAATTGCACTGCATGATTTGGTTGGACCTTGATAGCGATAAATTACCTTTTCAGAGAGAATGGAGAGATTGAAGTGTGGCTCGTACATATGGGGGGCCAGTGATGCAGCAGTCTGAAGGAAGCCTTTAGACTGGATTAAAGGCAGGGAAACAATTAACACCTGTCATGAAAATGTGTATGAAAATGCAGTGTTTACAGATTTAAAGTTTTATTTTCTTTAATTGGAGCAATCCTTACATCACTTTGCCATCATCATTAGCTGGAAAACCCTGAAAATTTAACCTTTTAAATCATGTTGGCAGCAGAAGTGTTAAGCAGGTGGATTGCTCATGCTCCTTCTGCTACTGGAAAAATAAAATCCCATATATCTCATGACGCTTTGTCTCATATCAAGCTATTATTGCTAAATTGCTTTATTGCCTAGCTCTTTGTTGGAGTAACAGGGGCTTACTGAATATTGGATTTATATTACGCAAGTATAATTTGAGAGATATCTTTTGATAATATGAGCTGGATTACAGTTTATATGACGCTAATAACTACATTTTAGTGATTTTCTTATAATGGACTGTGTTATATCACATTAGAGGTCGAAAGGATCACCATTATGATTTCATTACTCATATTTTAGCAGCTTAACAAAGACAATGATTCAAAACTATGTCTTTACCTGTTCAATGTGACCTTTTCGCAGCTCCAGCACAGCCAGGTTGTTATAAGCTTCAGCATGGTCATTATTAAATGCCAAAGTCAGTTTAAAGCACTGATAGGCCAGAGTCAAGTCCCCTATTCCCTGTAAACACAGAGCATATTCTAAATTATACGATGTAAGGTTGTCATTTCAATTAACTAAGTGTCAAATTATGTTAACTGTGAACCATATATGGAAGTGAAACATATTAAGTAATTTTCTGTTAACTCACAACAGCCACGTGTCCTATGTTGTACCAGACATCAGCCTGCTCTTCATCATTGGCCACCAGGGCCAGAGCCCTCTCAAACGAGGACAGAGTCATATCGTACTGCTGGGCGTAGAAACAGCACAGGCCCAGGTTGTTGTACAGTTGGCAATTATACACTCCCATCTGGAGCAGCCGTCTAGCAATGGGTGAAACATATTAAATCACAGATGGTAAATAAAATCTCATCAGATAAATTGTAACAACACATTACACAAATTGTACAGAAAGTTTGTCTGACCTATAGAAGCGCAGAGCAATCTCAGGCTGATCTGTATAGAAGTGATTGCTGCCTATGCAGGCTATGGCCTCCACGTGAGTGTTGTCCTGCTTCAGGACGTCTTTATAGTACTCTGTCGCTGATGAAATGTTGTTCATCTCCTGTCAAAATACCATTTTAGAGACAATTAATGAATGGACGGATGGATGGATATCTTTAATGATTCATGCAACTGTTGAGGTTATACTCCATGCAGCTATGGTGGAAAGTTTACATTAGTCCAGTGGTTCCCAAATAGCTTGGAGGCAAGTCGTTAAGATTTTGTGTCAACCAAACACTATTAGTGTAACTGAAAGCCCTTTTGTCTTTAACCTCAGCAATTCAAGTACTAAGGTTAATATTGCAAAGAAGCTGGGAGTGAAGCTGTTGTTAAAGCTGGCTTCCTTTAACTATGACTGCTTGCAAAGGTGAAGCCATTTCTCCACTTCAGTGACTTTGAAAATGTTACTCATTCCTTAATTTCGTCCAGACTTGACCATTAACAGTCTGCTTTCAGGTGTCAGCCTGTCACTGCTTGGCCAACTAAAGCTGGCCAGCTCTTAACTGGCAAGTGTAAGCAAGACCACACATCAGTCATATTAGCTTCCTTTATTGGTTGTCAGTAAGTTTTAATTTTTTTTTTCTTTGATTTTAAGTGATTGCAGGGGTTGGCACCTCCTTAGCTCTCTCATTGAGCAGGTCTGCTGAGCAGAGGCTTTTGACTGTCCTGTGGTCCAGATTAAAACAAAGAGGAAATCAGAAACTTAAATGTACCTTCTCCTACATTGTGGAGCAAACTGCCTATTTACATCAGGGGCATTAGACATTTTTGAAAACGGTCTTTGGTTATTACACCAGACTAAGTCCTGATTACTTTGAATTGTGCTTTTACTGTTTTTGTTTTTTCATTTTGTTTTCTTTATTTAAGCAGTTTTATTGTCTTATTATTTTATGACATTTATTCTTTTAGCTGTTAAGCACTTTAGGATACATCATAAAAACATTCCACTTGACTTAACGGCACAAAAAACAACAAATTTAATTTAATTTTAATATACCAGAACACATCAGCGTCCCTGACTGAGGAGGATAAAATTTGTGATGATGTAAAACTGAACAATTTGTTCTGAAAGGAAAACCACACAAAACCATCTAAAAGGAAAATAACTGTGAAGAAACTACATCTTTTGGATCCAGCTGAGAGTGCCAAACAAGCTAAAGAGCCACTCTGAAACCCGAAAACACTTCTAAGAGACACTCTGTCTACTGGAAAAGAGCTTTTGAAATGAACCACAGGCAGCTAGAACTTGTCTGAATTGTGTTAAAGTGCCTGATAAGGAGTGGTTATGTGATATTCGACAATGCAATTAAATAAAAAACTGACTATATTCGAGATGATGATGGCATACTGTACCTCATGGATACGAGCTATTCCTGTTAGAAGGGTAACCTCTCCAGGGAAGTGGTCCAGGCCTTGCTTGAAAAGACTGAGAGCCGTTATTGGCTGATCCATACGCTGATAAACCTAAAGGAAAATGAAAACAAGAATAGTGATTTCAAGAAAAACATTGCTTTAGAGAGAGAACCTTAAAATGTACAAACCCTTGGCAATAATCACTACCTTTGCGAGATAGAGATACGTATCTACCATCTCTTGGTGGTTGAGAGCTGATCGAAACTGTTTTTCTGCTTCTCTATATAAACCAAGCCTAAGAGGAGAGAAACAGACATTACATAATTTCATATACATAAATGTTAATTTAATCAAACATTGCAGTTGAATAATATGAAGGATGGTGTGTTACTTGCCTGTAGTAGCATTTTCCCAGCTGAACTTTCCACCACCAGTCTTTGAACTGTGCATGTTCAGTAGCTTGAGCAGCTAAATCCAAAGCCTGTACAAGGAATATAATATTTCTTTACATACAGTCCTGTCATCTAATGTGTGGTAGTTTTCTTTACACTGCAGATTTGTGTATCGCTTACATTTTTCACATCATTTTCATGATGGAAGATGTACTCAAATAATGTCTGTGGAGAAAGAAGATTGCTTCACATGCAGGAAAAACACAATAGAAAACAACTGATAAATGTCTGGAAGTCACAGTTTGAGTCTTACCCTGGATAAATTGGGTTTTTGGGAATACTTGGCCAGATTTAGTCTAGACAAGTTTATAAATGGTCCTTCGGGATTTGTTAGCATTGAAGCCTAGAAAAACAATAAAAGAAATAGGTCATGCTAAGAATTTCAGGCTTTCAGTGTAACATAATAAATAATAAAATGACTGTTGCTATCAGTCTTACATTAATATATTGTCTGCTGCATAAATTAACTTGAGAAAATGCAATAGAAACAGGCATGTGTCAAACGTGGCCTTTAGTAGGAATACTCACTGTCCCCAGACGAATGAATCTACCAGAAGAAGCGGTGACAGGACGAGCTGTGCTTGCAGTACGTGGGGTTTTGATGGCCTGCTCCATTGTCCCAGGGCGCCCGGACTGTGTGCTGGGTCTCACAAATCCTGTTATTGGGCGTCCTGATTGTGTCATGGGCCTAGATTTCAGGAAATAAAATATATCTGATTAGAGAATAATCACGAAAGCTTCATCAGTTTGGTTTTTTGTTTTCGTTGTCTTGAAAAACCTACCTGACAGCTGGTGTGGGACCTCCACCATGACATGTTCCAGGAAGTCTCAGTGATGTACCAGGTCCTTGCAGAGATCAAGTGTTATAAAAAAAAAACTAATTAAGAAAATGTTCAAATTATTAATTTAATGAATTGTGGAATTCGGAGCAAATGCTTAAACTTACGTGCAACTTGAGCAATAGAGCTTTCATCCAGCATCATCTCAGCAATCCCCTCCTGGTCAACCTCGATTTCATCTATGTAAACCATCTCTGTAAGAGCACGGGTTTTCAAGCTCCATGCAGCCTATGACGCATGTACGCGCACACACACACACACACACACAAGCAAGTTTTAGTCATGTGAAATATTTCAGATTTATTCCACATTTATGTAGAAGAAGGCATAAAACAGTCTGGAGCTACAACACAAATTATCCATAAAAAAGAACAAAATGAGATGGAAAACAGAGACATGTGCAGTCATGGTTACCTCTGAGATTAGCAAAGATGAGTCCTTAAGATAGAGTGCAGACAGTTAGCGAGAGAGTAAAGAGATTTAAGAAAAATGTGAATAAATGGGAAGGAAGCAGAACGAACATAAGACACGATAGAAATGAGACATGAGTAGCGTATAGCAACAGCTACTAAGTTTATAATAAACTGAATAAGTATGATGAAATGCTACGTTAGTGAGATATAAACAACACAGACTCGACTAATCGGGATTATGCAGCAGGTTGTCCAGCTGTCCATCGTTAGCAAGCTAGGCTAACCCTGCTAACTTCACCACAGTACCTGGTCGTATGGGTTGTCTTGTAATATTTTCGTACAAATATCAGAACATTGTTGGAGTTTCCGCCTCCTGAAATAGCTCCACGCCAGAAACAATGGGTCCATCGTCACTTCCATTGCTTTTGCTAATCAGGGAGAAATAGCGTAGATCTAAAAGTCAGTTAGCAAGCTGCTAAGAGAAGCTGACTTGAAGGCGAGACCGAGGCTTCCCCTGTCGCTCGGCAACAGCCTAGGAGGGCGGTCCTTCACTGCCGCAATTTCCTCAAAAGAACTGAATAAAATAAAAGAAAGTTAAATTAAATTAAATTCATGGGACATCACTGTTCTTTTTAAAATTAATGCATTAATTCAAATTTGATTTACAAGAAATATAGATCAAATAAAATAAATAAAAATATAAATCTGTGGAAGCAGTTAATTTAGGTGAGTAAATAACTTTCTTACTCATAACTCTTTATATAAGTCATGAAACACGCCACACTTAAATAAACACTTTGAATACTTGAATGGACTAAGTAATACATCATTTTTAAACAATTAAAATTTCAATTACCTGCTTTTGGTATTTTTTTAATTATATGGTTGAAAAGAACACATTAAAAGCACAAATGCTGACATTAAATAAAAAATATTCAGAAATAGGGTCTAGCTCCCGGACTGCTTGCTTCTTGGTCATGACGGAGTTGTCCTCTCCTGCTTTTTCCTCCTGAGTAAGTCAAAGCATCTGATTGGGTAACGGACTCCTCCGTCATCTTTGTAGGCGGTGCTTGTGGAATAACAGTACAGCTCCATCTTTGTAGGATTTGACAGGAGCTTTGACCCAACTCGAAGAGGACCGCGAGCCCGGGGCTGAAGTACAAGTAGACTGAATGAAAACACAAGCGTAGAAATCAGTTTCTTAAACAGAGGCAGAGGGCTTTCATTTTACCAGGCAGCGAGTCTTTTAATTCACATAACCCGCAAAGATGCCCGATTTCAACGCTTGCTCTTGACTCTGGTTGTTTCCAATGGAACTAGCCTAATGGGACACGCGGGCTTCAAATAAATCCTTTTTGGTGAATGACACTATATCCGAAAGCCTGCGTGATAGCGACAGAGAGACACACACGGAAGTGCGGACATGGCTGACAGGACTGCTCCCAACTGCCACCTGAGACTGGAGTGGGTGTACGGATACCGGGGACATCAGTGCCGCAACAACCTGTACTACACCGCCGCCAAGGAAATTGTCTATTTCGTCGCCGGTGTGGGAGTTGTGTATAACACCCGGGAACACAAGCAGAAATTTTACCTGGGGCACAACGATGACATAATCAGGTAGTAATGACATGTTTATATAAACATATAAATGCATTTCAGCACCGTGGACAGCACCAGACTTGAAACGTGTACTGAAAGTGTAGAGTTGTCATTATTGGAGCTGGTGTCACCTTGTGCAATGTAATGCGATATTTTTCAGCTCCACGGGGAGTGCACCCCTACTTAGCAGCATCCCTAGTTTGCTGTGGGTTCAATATTTTGCTCAAGGGCACTCCAGCAAAGCAAGGGGTCCTTTGAAGACTGCTCTTGCTCCCATGTTGGAAGGAACCACTACACTAACATTAATTACTAAACAGAAACTAATATTTTAAAAATTATTTTGTTGAGTTCATGTTTATGCTTTAAAATTATTTGTCACTGACAATCTACTTTTAAACAATGTCATCCTGGGAAAAGCAGCAACCCATTCGTACAAAAAGGACGAATGGGTTGCTGCTTTAATATAAAATGTGGTTTAATGTAAAATATTTGACATTGATGCTCAACATTTAGTCATTTTTAAAAGAAAGGTTGACAGTGTAGACAGTAAAGTGGGCATATTTACCTCTGTGCAGTCCAATACTAATGTGCAGTATCTGAAAAATGCACTTGAACAAAGCTGTCCTTGAAGGAATCCTTGAATTGGAAAATTGAGGTAATAAGGGATTTAGTAGCTCGACCTCTGCATCTCAGGGAAAATGTTGAAACCTTTTTTTTAATAAAAAGTTATCATTAATCATTATGTCACTCATCTTTCTCAGCATGCTGCACAACAATGACCTGTGACCAGTGGTTTAGTGCTTGTGTTGACATATGTGCGTCTGTGTGTGGGTTGGCCTGGAGATGACTAGCTTTATACTGTGTCGGTCGTCAGCTGGACTCCTGCTCCATTATTAATCGGACAGTAGAGATACTAACCCTCCGCTGCCCTGTGAGTAAAGTGCCTGAGTTCAAATGGTGAGCAGGAGGAGTCACAGACTAAACAATAATCTGATATATGATCTGCAAAACTGTTGAAAGTACAAAAGTGGTAAATTGGTGTAAAATCTGCAAATTTGATCAGAGTATTTCAGTGTGAAATGCAGAAACCTCTCATAGCGTGACCATGTGCTTTTTGTGCAGCCAGGTGGTTTGAACTAGCGCTATGTACTTACAGTGCAAGCTAAATAGGTCCCTTAAGCTGTCATTTATTAAATGCCAAGTAATAGCCATTTTAAAGGCCTCGAAGGAGTGCTTATGAAGCTCTTTTAAATACTGCCTTTGAATATGACTTCTGCGGCACAACCAGGAGCAGTGCTCGCCACATTCAGATCTGAATTATCACGTTGCACAAACTCATGTGGAAGAGAAGTGGCTTCTTTAGAGGGACTTAAAATTCAAATACTGCTTCTCTTCATTTTCTTGATGCACTGTTGTTGTAGATTCGTAAGCAATTTTTACATTAATTTGTACTTTACAGGGTCATTGCAGCACTCGTTTTGGGTAATCCTGTAAAAAGTCAATGAATGCCTCTCACCTGACCCACTCATCATCACCTGATTTTTTTGTACAATGGCGCCATCAAACCCACCATGGCGCCATGGAAAATTTAATGGCATTATTATTATCAAGACTGGGCGTGCTGCTCATATCAAGGTAAAAAAAAAAAATGAAGTTAAATAAAATCCTGTAGTAGCTTTGTATACATGTTGTATACATGTGCTCACCCACTCAACTTCATCATGGTTTTAATTTCATGATTTTAAATAGAATCTCTAATTTAATATTTCTCAACTGTTTAAAATTACTGTATTACAAATACATTTTTGGCACAGCAGGAATCAGACATTGAAAGATTATACAAGAAGTTTTATCCAGAGAAAAATGGATTCATGAAGGTATGTTGTGTCAAAATGCTAAAATATAATAATGTGAATTAAAAAGTGCAAAATTTCAACCTATCCATATATACCTAGGACATTTATAACTCTGAGTATTTTCACAGGTTAAATTTTTCACAGCTCACTTTGACGGGGTCACATGGGAACATTTGTCAGATTAAACTGATTTTACCCATTTCTCCCACTTGGTTTTATTCACCCTGAAGTCTGTTTTAACTGGTCTCTGAGTAATGTGGAAGAGCTAATTGGCAGGTTTACACATGAATGAAAGACTGAGCAGACAATGATGCAGTAGTCTAGCCTTCTTTTGGTTGGCCTTTTAGGCAGTTTTAATGCTTTGTTAGAAATGTAAATAAACATGTTACTGGGCGATAACAGAATAGACCTGGGAGACTGTTAACGACCTCCAGTTAGAGCAGAGTACTGTGAGGCGCATCATTAGAGTGGGTAGCCTTGTTAAAACTGTTTTTTGCTATTCTTTCCTCATATCTGCCGTTGTTCCAAATGGCTTTTATTCAAGTCAGAAACTCTAAGAGCCCGAGGCTCCTGCTAAACCTCAGCAGAAACAGAGTTTTTCCTGCATATAAACAGTCTTGGCTCCCACTCAAGAAAAATCATTAGGACTATGATTAAAAATACTCTTCACTCTTCTTAATATCTTTAATAACCTGGGTTGAAGTTACACATAAATACTTTTTTTCTTTATCAAATGTCCAGAAACATGAGAAAAATGAACAGAATTCTATCAGGAAACTTAATACGGTTAAGTTTGGCTAACTGTATACAGACCAATCATGCTTATGTGTGTAGGAGGCATGATTGGTCGGATTGGTAAGCAAACCCTGAAGAGAGGAAACACCCTGGGAAGGTTGGCTATACTGCTGGAATGCACCACTTTAGAAAACCCTTAGTTTTTTCCTACCAATCATTAACATGGTTAACACATTCACCTTACATGTGAAAGATCCCTGGGAGATCACAAACCCTGCCTCAGGGTCGCAAGCTAATGCACTCCAAGTGTCGGTGCCAAGCCCTGATAAAAAGGAGAGTTGCATCAGGAAGAGCCAGTCGGCATAAAATCGGTGCCAAATGAAATATGCTGATCCATCCACCGTGGTGAACCTTAGGAAAATAAAGCAGCAGCTGAAAGCACCATTAACGGAAAAATAAAGTTTGTGGAAACTCTTTTTGACTTTAGTCTCACCTCATATTTTTCACCTGGTTGTCTGAGCCACAGTTTGAGACCCACTGGTCTATACTACAAAGCTTAAACCCCGACACTCAGAGCACATACTGTCCACGCAAAGACCGATTCACACGAGTACATTCAAAGCAAAAGGAACAGCTGGCTACACTTTTAACTCATTGGAGTCTTACTCACTCCATCAGCCTTATGGGAAAAAAGAGGCTGATCTTTATCAGCCTGTTCAATGGTAGTTCAGTCAGTAGCTGACCGGGAAGGGGGTGGGGGGAGATAAATAATAAAAAATAAACAAACAAAAAATACAATGGTACTGAAACAAGCTAAATTTTTAGTTTTAAAGCACGTGTGCTGGTATTGTTCTAGAATTTCACAGTGGTTTTCCAGTTGAGTTACCCATGACCCAAACCTAACTGCACACTCAATTCAGGGATAAAGAGATTGCTAGGAAAGCACGTATTTGCAGGGTTTTTCCTGTACTTAAAAACCTTGGCCTCCACCAAAGAGGTTTTAGCCTCCTCTACAAAGGAAATTCACAAGGGTTTTAATAAAATAATTTAAAATCAATTATTTTTAAGTGGGGTTGGCCAGAAATAAGAGAGATCTACACAGATTCTTGCAGACCAGACGTGATTGCAAAGTCAACTCCAAAGGCCAATTTGAGGCAGAAAAATCCCTCTTTTGTTACATTTTATTTCATTTGTGGATGTAAATTCACAAAAGCGTGGGAAGATAGAGGCATGGCGGCCTTCTCCGTGTAGTCATTATTTGATGGTCTAGCCTTGAACGCGAGTTTCATCATCACTGTGACATGAACAGCAAACGCAATAAACAGAATACAAGAAGCTGCCTTAAAATGCAAGCAATAA